CGGAAATGAATGATTTATTCTGTCGCGGTACGTAGGGCTCCTGACGAGCTGCCTCGGCCAGCTTCTGGAGTTCCGCAACACCTAAGACCTCTACCTACACAATGGTGCCCATAACGAGAATTTGTACATGAGCTTCCGTAAGAGCCCTTTCCTGTAATGGAGTGTGTAGGACGCTGCTGGCTTCTTATGTAAATATCTAAAGATCGAAAGCGCTGGTAAAGCTGAAACACGCTGTAGCGGTAAACGAGGCAGCGCCTATAGAGAGTACGTGCAGCATATGTTAGTGTCAGTCGTTGACACGAATCCCATATTTTGTAAACATTTGTACTAGACAGTGACTCGGAGTATGGATTTGCTAGTGGTCGAGGTTTTTTGAATTTTCTTGGATAAGTACTGACTGCAGCACTTATATCCACCGCGTGGATTGAAGCCACGAGAATGCTCTACCGTTTGTTAGTCATAAATGTTACCCATGAATTTTTCAGAAAAAAAAAGAAAATTTTAGAAAGAGTGTTGCAGAACTTTCTTTCCAACCTAAATAGTTTGATAACCTCGTTACGGGCTTGCTCTTCCGAAACCGTGCTGTTAAGGCTCTTGAAGCGTACTTCAACATAGTAACGTACATATTTCACAACGAAACGGTCTAGACGGAAGAACTTCGAACTTGAATAGAATTGAGACACGAATTATGAGACAGCCCAATATAATATGATATATAGAAAGCGCTCTCACCGCAAACCAAAAGTTTGTGTGGGGCATGCCCGATTGCTGGGACAGCGTCACATTTGGAGCTTCTTCAGGATGACGAATTAAAGCTGATTAGGGCCCTGGCCTATGAGTAGTAGCGGGCAGTCAATGTCGAAAAGTGCTTTATCTCCGAATCAATTGGAACCAATGATTCTACCATTTCCAGAGGGGTGCAAGACTCGTACATCTCAAGGGTGATTTCAGTAGCGACTTATCCCATCTCTCATCTTCTCCACTTTAACGACGTCGGCGACAATAAATACAAGATGGCTAACCTAAGGTGTGCGTGACATTTTGCTGAGTTTGAAACATTGTGTGTCATCAAATTTGATGTCAAAGTCATTAAATTTTTTGCTCTCAAAATACATATCATATAAAATACATATCATATAAAACACATCATATCTTAATCATAGTTTTTCTGAAAGCTGTCAGAATACCGCAATGCGATGGAGCGAGGAGGAGCGCATTTAAACTAAACCCACAGGAGTATGGAAACGATCCGATAGGTGTGGAAAATTGCCAATAAATGAAATGGCCAAAAATATGACAGGAGCATTAACAAGAGTAGCGAATAGTACGAAACTCTTCGAGATTCTATTCGAATGATGTCCAAATAATATACGGTAAACAGACAAAGCGTTGTTAGTGCGCTATTTTTTTCTCCTGAAGCAACAGCGTTTCATAACCTCAAAGCCTAACACGGTTGGCGCTCATCGCACTCTTGGGTTTTACAACGTCGACCGTGTGGGACCAGAGCTAGAGCGATTTTGCGAGCGCCGTCGCCGCACACCAAATCATGGATTTTGAGCTGTAAATACGCAATACTTAGATGCGTTGAACTGTTTTCAATAGTGTTCGATCTGTCTAACTTATCGGAGTTACAGTAATGGAAGTTCGACCGAAATGATGTGTTAAGGTTCGCCAAGAAAGGGCAGTATTTACTTACTTTCTCCTCAGTTTCCCTTTAGTGTTTCCAAAATTAATTTGGACGTGGTTGTTTCAGTAAAAACACATATCTTCCCATACGAATAGGTTTGTATTCGCTTCTGTTATTCCTTTTTATCAACATGTTTACGTTAATGAAAAGAAAACGAGGAATGAACTGAACAGACATATCCGTAAGGTCTGGAAAACCTCTGCCAAACTAAAGAATATTTGGCCTTTCTGTGAGCCATGTGGTTTTTAAGTATGCTAATGTATGACCTATAGAATGAGTACAAAGACCTTAGGAATAAGTCGCACAAGCGCAAGAAAAAGGGATGACTTGGGTGGGACGCGTTACCGCGTCACAATGTCCCACGAGGTGCGCAAAGTGGGACGCGTTACCGCGTCACGCTGTCGTCAAATAATCAGGACCTTAAAAAGAAAAAATTTCGAGGACACAATTGATTTTTTGGCAAAAAAGAGGCACGGAAAACCGTTTCGGCGAACACTTTTGGTCGCTACTGTAGTTTGAAACTTATTCTCGCTCAGGCGGCAATTTTTACCCACTCAAAAACATGATTGGGAGGAAAAATAAGAAGATAGGGATCTTTCGAGGGCAGCGAGCCTAGGACGTCCTGTGGATTCACAAATATTAGCACACCATTTAGTTAGCTTAAAACTGTCAGAATTGCCTCCAATTTTTTGGAAAGTTCGTAATCAAAAAAATCATCGTCTTCGACGAGAGCAATTGACGCTTCTTTGTTCAGATAACTCCACTTCATACCATGAGGCATTGAGGATATTTTAATTGCTCTTGTGGAGTCATCCTCTGCCAGCAAGTTTCTACTTGCCTCACCAGGTACTCAAACATGAAATTGCCCTATTGAACTTAACTATAGGATTTCCGAAAAAGATCTTTCGAAATCGCGACATACTATAGTGGATGATCACTACCTGCATACTGCATGCAGAGCTTGGCCAAACACCTGAAAAAACGATGTGCAGATTCAATTTTGTTGGTTAAATTTTTTGAAGCTTATTCAATGATGTCACTGAAATGTTGATGCGCCAGTAGTTTTGTCTTCCTCTGTAGTTTGCCTTTAAAAAAGGGATTTCGTACCAAACCATCTCCTTTCTAATGAAAACGTTGAGCGTAGGGTGGGTACGGAAAATCCCCGAATTTCGCGAAAAGTTTCTGACTCACGAAAGGTCCTCCAAATCTCCCGGAATCCACAAACACGACCCTACTCGATCTCAGCGGATTATTACTCTTTCCCATAAATACTATGATGATGACGAGGCGGTCACGAGACAAGAGCTTGAAAGCATAGTTAAATGCAATTATTGTATATACATATTATACGAAAAGTATAGGACGCCATGTTTTTGTGTGTAAAAGCCAAGAAAGAGACTCGATCAGGAAACCGACTTCACACAAAGATAGAGTTAAGCTATTTGATCACTTGTGCAGAAGGTGCTTTGAATTTGACGACTCTGCTTTGAGAGAGGCCTTCTGACGTCCAACGACAAAATCAGCAGTGCGCCGCAGGTAGCCAACGGCGATGTCGTCCCACCTCTTCTGAAGCGCTAACTTCAGAGCACCCACCGAGCTGGAGAAGTCTTATGAGGTCTTGCTCTACAACATCCTCACATAGAGGAGTCCATCGGGTTAAGGGCCTGAGAGGAAGAAGGTCACAATTCCTTGCTCCAGTGGCCCGGGAAGTGAGCGCCCAGGATGGCTTTGGTCGATTTGAACGCGTATTAGGGAGCCCAGCTTCATTGAAGAGCAAACGATCATTGAGCAAAATGCTCGTAAATCCAGAACAACATACCGTACCTCATTAAAGTCTTTTGCAAGACCTTCGAGTTAATTTCAACATTTGTGGAAGATGAACTCCAATGGAGCTGCACTTTTGGATGTTACCCCGTCACAAACTACCACACCTTCGGGAGAAAGTCTGTTGTAAACTAGACGTTATCTCGGAGACTTGCTCTCACTTTTTGGCAACAACTGCCTCTGACTTTGGTGGTCGCAAAGAAGTTTAGTTCGAAAATTTTCTCATTAACCCAATCCGTAAGAGAGATGCGGCGCACCTCGAGCTCGTGCAGAAACTTTTTGCATTTTATCAGTTGAATCTATTCGGGTTGCTCCAATAAAAACCAGCATAGAAAGAGTCGGTAACCTCTTCAAATAATGATTGCTTCCCAAGATTTTCTGGAAGGAGTGACGGCAGATCCTGAGATCAAAAGCGATGTGACTCACGCTGGCTTCATCGTTGTGAGCCATCCTCTTCTAGGTGATTGCCCAATCCTCTGAGTGTGCACAGTTCTTGAACTTCCACTTTTCGCAATCCCAGAGACGTGTGCTTGAACCTTGAGAGCACCGAACATGTTTCCAAAGAGTTGAAGAGGGAATACCGAGTCGCTTTCCGAAGTTGCAATTTCAGAGACCGTCATTGGGCAGCCTCTTGGTAATGGGTCGATGCAAAAAATCTTCATGGCGAGAGTTCAGATGAACTTTGGACCAAACAACTTATGGTGCTTCTTACATAGTTTCAAAGCTTTCGAAGAGTTTCGAAACACTCTGAAAATACTCCACGGCTCAGTGCCAGCAAGCGGTCAAAGCCGCGTCCTATACTTTTCGGCCACCCTGTATTTGCAGCGTAGTGAAATGCAACCCAGGAGTTGAATTGTGTGTCGGCGTGTTGCCACATATCGGAAGGCATTGGGGCGAGCTAGTCTGGTGGCAATAGTAAAATAATGAAGGGGACAGAATGCCGTGAAATACGTCTAAGCTTAAGCACTGTACATCAATACTTAACTTTTTTGGGCTGCGCTAATGATAACGAGCAGACCTCGAGCAGGTTGGGGAGATAGTCGAGGGAGCCCAAAGGGGGCAGCGAGGCGACCGGATAACAGATATGCTGGAGACTCGAAAATGTGAAGCGGTTGAAGCAGTTTGCAGAACGCTACCGCCCTTGGACGATTTCTAAGCGTGAGAGTGCCGATACTTATGATGCCTTGGGTGACGCGCTCTCCTACAAAGGGGGACTTTTCGCCTTAAACTCTGGGTATTTGCGTGGAAGAGGCCATTCAGTTTCTCAATTCAAACCGTCAATCAACCTGTGAATACTTTCTTTAGGGTTCGCTCCCTCAAGCAACACAGTCTCAGTGCCTGCTATGTATTAGGTAGGCTAGGTTAGTGTCTTCTCTAATAATAGTTGATAAAAAGCCAGACCCGTCCTTTATAGTCCCCGTGCTGAAAGCTCAACCCTTGCTTACTTCCAAGGACCTTCATTGGAGCGAATTGCCCCGCTCCGGAACGAATGGTTGGGGTCTAAAAAAAAGTTGAAAACGGACAGAACCTGAGGGAAATCAACAGGAGAAGTCAACACATCACATTCATCCCAAAGGCGAAGGAATAAATGAGATTTCGGAAAACGTCATTTATCAGGTGTCACAGGAAGACCGTATAATTATTTGGTCTTCGAAAACGTGGGGTCCCTTCGTATTTTGTCTTTCACTCCACTCAAACACCTCCAACACTTCGAAAGAGCCTTGTGATCTTCCACGCTTCTCTGTGAATTATTCGCATGAGTTAGGCCACATGTAAACCTTAAGCCTATTTTTCATGCTCTCGTGTTTCCTGGCTAATCGTTCGACAATTTCAGTTCACAAAGGAATCAGTGAAACCAGTAGAACTGGATACTGCATGGGCGGCTCCTGAACTTCACATTAAAGAGACGCCTGTTACTGTTCAAAGTGACGTTTGGGGCCTTGGTGTGATCACTTTCTGCCTGTAAGTGCATCGTTCGTGAATTGTGAAAACGGAAAAAAGGGTCTGATATTGGTATTCCATTGAAAAAATCCTAATTCTATTTTCAGATTAGCCGGATTCCATCCATTCACATCTGAGTACGATCGACCGGAGGAGGTGAAGGAGGAACCCTGAACTAGTATAATGTGAAATGCGATCCGAATCTGATTCCTGTGAACGCCAGCCAAGAAGCTCTCAGCTTCGTCACCTGGGCGTTGAAAAAGAACCCATTGTGAGTCGATCAGCTCATTTATAACACAGAAATATCCCTTCTTCTCTAGCCGCTTCTGCTCTCGATTTCGTAGTCAATGGATACGTTCCTGGTAATTGCCAAATGTTCGATAAAAAAAGTAAATGCCTTGAAATGCTGAGGGACAACTGAGGGCAATGGGGAGATTGGTGGGCGTCCGAATAACGCCGCGGAAGTCCTATGCTAGTCGGGCCAGCGGCATATTTAATTTGAATGCGAATTGCATGTCGCTCCCCACCCTTGGGAGGTTCGCTTTTCTTCCCACGAGGTGAGTTTCCCCTTCTTCGACCTTCGACCTTATCGTGGAATCCTCTTTCAAGACGACATTAGCGGAAGAGCGTCAGTTAAGAAGAAGTTCATGACGTCCCCAATTTGCCCGGCATGGCACGCGGCTGACCTTCAGGCCGATCGGTTGGCCTTGTAACATGGTTTCCAACTGTTGTTATTATCAAAAACGCCATTTATGCAATGACTAGGTGGAGCAGTTGAGGCAAATATATGCCAGGCCTACTGAAGCGTAACTAGATTCCTGACCGAAAAAAGCGCTGCGGTCCAAGTGGGTAGTGTTCTGACATTGTTCCTGGAAGTGCGAAAGCGCGGGGTTACTCTCACCGATGCATTCATTCGACGACGATCTTCCAGCGACTGAATGGAGAAGACGAGGCAATTATCTTCATGGTTCCTCGCCGCTTGATCCTCAAATGGGTACGAGAGACGGGAATCAATCAGAGTGTGGTCGGTCTCTGTGCCGGATATAATTTGGCGATTTAGTTCAATGTGTTCGGACTAAAGGTTTGGCCAGTTGATAGGTCCTATGGCTTATGGTATTGTGCATAAGACGTACCAACGACCCGGACGAGGGGAAAAATCAGATGGGATATAGTCCAAGATGGTACTCTAGAATGATCACATTCTGCTCGATTCTCCTCCTATGTGTTTCTGCAGCCGGTACAGTTGGTGGAATGTAATCTGTAGCCAGGGTTGAATCGGTCGAGGATTCGTCGACTGCTCGTCGAGGATTTTCGCCTGTTCGGTCACGCTCTCCCGCGCGTGGCATTCACTCTCGCCACGCGCGAGCCGTCTGTGCTCTCCTCGCGTACACTCAATCTCGACACAGTACAAAGCCATGGGCGGGAATTTCCTCGACCGTTATTCACCCTTCTGGTATTTATCCCTGGGAGAAAATAGATTTTTCCCTTCCATCGACCAATGAGCTACAATCAGTCGACTTTACTCAATAATTGCGCCATGCCTCAGTTGAACCTTCTATTACATGTTAGGGCAGCACCTCTTTGATTGCTTACTTTTTCAAGTATTACTTCTTATTTTCAGATATGCGGCATCTCGCCTTCGAAAGACCGCTCTTCTCACGAAGCAGTCTCAAACCCGGCCTATCAGCACCGATTTGGAGCTGAAGTATGGCGGAAAATTGATACAGTAACGAAAATTTCGGGCTGATCTGAAAGGCGTCATCCCCGATTTTTCGACAGTTTTATGGATAATTATCAAACTTTCGAAATCAAACAGTAGACGAGTAGTAATCTGTATTTTATTGGTATTTAGCAGTGTTTACTGTCATTTGTAGGCTTTAGTGAAGTTCTGTGCTTTCGTCAGCTGCTCTGAAGAGTATGGGGAACTCGTTAGGAGCATTCTGACAACCTTTTGTACTGATTGTTTTTTACCCTATGGATTTTCTATGTCATCGCCTTTCCCTCGACTAGCAGATTTCACAGTGCAATACTGATCCTGTTTTGTTTCTGTGCGCCGGCCCAGCTTGTTTTTTGTTGTCGAGTTGCGAAGAGGTGAATGAAGTTTTTCCCAAACCCTTTCTAACCATCGGAGCAATGGAACTTGAAGGCACATCTCGCGATCAGACGGGCGCAGCTATCCGGTCGATCACGAAAATGGAGATGCGATGTGATGCCAATATGGAGAAAAAAAGGAAAAGAAACTTTTGAAAGTACCGAAAGAAGCCCTTCTTCTTTGGGGGTTGGTATGTTCACGAAACAGACATAGGCAGACACTTCAGACAGTGTGCGCTGACACGAGAGAAGAGGGTGATGTGATGAGAGAGCATAGCGGAAGTGCGAGAGCGCAGAGATTAAGCCACAGTGTCCAACCGCGCCGAACCCAGTATCAATCCGGGATGCCATCACACGCCAGGAGGCATGTGTTTGCCTCGTTTTTTGATATCACAGTAATAGCACAGCTTCTGCTTTTGCGCACCCTACTCTCTCATTTGCGGGTAGAATTGCAGCGGTAATCTGATCACGCTTCCAATGGGATGCGCTTTCTGCCATTGTCCTTTGAAGAGAGCATATCAGACATCCTAAGGCGCCTTCCTTTTTGGCGTAAGCGGCGTGATACGAAAAAAAAAAGAGTTTAGGGTGACGTGGTGTTTGCTCGATGGTAACTAATGATGAAAATACGCGGGAAATCGTCGATAAAAAATATGAAACGTGCGTCCTTTTTTGGCTTATTTGCGTTTTCATATCAACAAGCTACAGCTAGAGAAAGTAGAGGTTATGAACGAGTTGACGAGCAATGTGTTTCGTGCACTTGGCGAATCACGCTATCAAGTGGTATGATGAATTTGCACAGCCTTCACCAGCTCGTCCAAATCAGCAAAAATAAGGGCGGATCGCCTCTGGGGCGGAGCGCTTTCGAAGTTCTTCTCAGCAACCAGCGCACCTTTCGTTGCGAAAGTGCCACACTTCGCCTCCTTGCCAGCCAGTAATTGCATATGCTTCCCCACGCGTTCCCTCTTTATGATAATCACTTCCTTTAACCTAGCTGTGGCTTCGCGGAGTTCGGGTCAAGTGGACTTCTCCCAAAAAATTGCATTAGTTCAACAGTTCAAAATTTAAAAAAGATATAGGACGAAATCCTCTTTACATAGTGTCGATTATGATGTGAATAAAATTCAAATAATGAATAGAATTCAGGAGGGGTTCGTTCCTTTACAACAAGATGGCCATCTCAATCGTTATACTCCGCTTCCTTGATCTTTCAATTTGTTTTGAGTGGGAGCCATTTTCTAAGAACTTTAACCAGCAACGGATAAGTGGTTTTCCTTGGAGAACTTTGAAACGGAGAACGCTGTTGGTAACGACTTCTCTGACCACGGCGCCTAAATGGAATGATGTTCCGGAATGGAAAAATGTTTCCCATCTCTACCTCAAAGGCGGAAGTTTACTATGAAAACGCATCTATTAGAAATCAAGGCAAAGGGGGTTACTGGTGAATGGATGACGAAAACTAAGAGAAACTACCCAGCAACAAAAAAATTAGACCCCCTCTCCCGTCGATTTCCGCATTGTTGCGAATCTCACCGATGCTGCCTTCTTCAATGCTAACGCTTTCTCTACTAAAGGCTCGAGTCAGAGAGCAAGGACTTACCTTGCTATCAGGAGGGTGGAGCGGCACGAGCGCAGCGGATACGCGCTGTTCGCAGCTCTCCTGACTGGAGACTTTACTTACAGAAGCAGTTGAAACCATAAATAGAAGGAGGATTTGCTTACAGTTATGAAGCCATTGGCCCATGAGATGCAAAGGTACCGCTTCCGCAAGTAGGGGGGCGCCGCTTCCGTAGCGGCCTATGTAGGATGGCCTTATTCGAATGACGAGTTCCTTCTGCGCTGGGTGAATCCTCCGATTAACTCCCTCACTTGCTGATCCCTCGCTGTCAGACTCCAGCTTTTTAAGTAGGGGAGCGAGTAAAAAATGCTCGCGTTGATGACTAAGGAAACAATATTTCCCATTTAGCTAGGGTTTGTTCCTTTGATCTTCCCTTAGCACGCTTGAGTCTATTTCTAACGACCACAATTACTGTGGTCATTAACGATCACAACCATCCGAACACAAGCTGGCGCCACTGAAGCTTTATAAGTCATCCATAATTTAAAAAAGGATGGTACTTTTAACACAACGAGTGAATGCAATTTAGTCATGTGAACCGGAAAACATCTTTGACCACAGGGTAAGTAGTATCCAGCTGGGTCGGCTAAACGGAAACCATATTCAGTGCCTCAGGAAGATGAAATAATCACTGTTTTGATATCATTGGAGAGTTTTTCCAAGAAGGGTGACTTCTGTCGCTACCATATCGAGTACCCGACAGGAGGCCCGTCGCGCGGCGAGACGCAACACAGATGCAGACGAGTCAGCGGACAAGTTTGCAGCGTGCACAGCAGTGATTTCGCATCAATTTAGGCACTAAGATTACGTCCCAGATCACACAGAGGACTCGTCTACAGACCCGATTGCGTCTGGGTCCTATCACCGCGCGATGGGCCTCCTGTGGGGTACCGCACGTCATGACAATCAACAATAAAAAAAGCTTCGTGAAAGATAATAACGCAACATTACAATTTGTGACAGACGTGGACGATAGCGTCTTCGGCTATTGCTGGGAAGTACCCTCCAACCATAGGTGGCCTCCAACAGGCCACAGTATGCTTTCCAGTTGCAAAGCAATTCGCTGGAAGTGTCATAGTCCCAAAGCAGTTACCAGTCTTGCAAATGCTGCTCTGCAATGCTCAATTTCTCACCCCGAGTACATTTTATGGTCTCTTCAATCTCCATCCACTTTCTCCTTTCTCTGCCGGCTCGCCGTTTTGGCAAATTGCCACGCCGTCTTTCTGCGTCCCTGCCATGCCCATTGATCCGCTGGTCCCCTCTCCCCCCGACGGCTGTTCTCTACCTCAGCAACCCTTCCAGCATGTGCAATGCAGCGTTGATGGCGCAGTGGTATCAGTGCCCGCTGTCAAGTGAATAGCAGAGAGTTCAATTCCGGGCGATGCAGCAGTTTTGCCAACATCGTGCTGAAGTTCGCCGTCTATCCTAGGGTCACCTCCCTGTTTCTCCGCCGTTTACGGCCGCAGTTCACCACCTTTGACTCCCAGTCTATGGCCCTTTACTACCGTCCCAGTCAATCTCGAAGAATGTCCACCTTGTGCAAAAAAGTCACGCTCTTTCAGTCTGGTCGCGCGGTCTGGTTTCACATAGTTCTGAGACACTAATTCCAAATTAATTGGTACGATAAACTGCTCGCATAAGGCAAGTGGACCCGCAACTACTAAGGTGATGCGACTGTCGTTACTTAAAACTGAAGGTTTCAGATTAGCAGTCACACGCTCGTCTGCCCGTTGCGATGTCTGCTTCTCACTCGTCTGCGTGCTCTATCGCCTTCGATTCTTTCCCCCTCCTCGTGCCGACATCCTTCTCATTTCGCACCATGTCCCCTGCCATTGAACTCTACAGCCTGACGGAGGATTTTCTTCACAGATCTGCCCGCTTTGAAAAAATTCATGGTCACAGCAAATCCTCGCGCGCAGTGCCTTTAGGTTTCAGCAAGAAGAAGCCCCTTTTTGCTATGTGTAAAGCGGTCGGATCGCCCAGCTGACGTAGCAGTAGCAGCGTCAGCTAACTAATAATGATAGTTCATAGTTCAAAAGAAAACACAATCAAGAAAAGACATTGTACATTGTTAATTGCACTTACCCCTATATAGCCATGAGAGGGATTATGGGGCCACCACCAATTACTGTAGGGACCCACCCAAGCCGAGCACTCCACAACTAGACATGCAAATATCAGCCAGCGCATTTCGTCAATCTGCAAAACTTTAAAAAACATATCAACTAAAGTTTAACCTTCTCGTCGACTCAGCAATAATCTTTCCGCACGGCTTGACAAAAGAGGAAGACATCACGGTTGGGGTGCACCAAGGGTCAGCTCTGAGCCCGTTCCTCTTCCTCCTAACACTAGATGTCCTGGTGAAGGGGCTCATGGAAGGGACCACTGAAGACCATCCTCTACGCTGACGACATCGCCCTGATAGCGGATAGCAGAGAGGAACTTCAAGCCAAGGTGCAGAAATGGCAGAAGTCCTGGTAGAAGGGGCTCCGGCTGAATGTTCAGAAGACAGAGTCGATCGTGGACGGCCATGGTGAGGCCGAGAAAGTGGAGGTTTCCTACTACCTTGGGAGCAATCTGGCTGCTGACGGTAGCGTAAATCTAGGCGGTGAAGGCTTGGTCAACGCTGCATGGACGCAATAGAAGTGGTAAGGCCTGCGATGCTATACGGCAGCGAGTGCTGGCCCCTGAACAAGAACCACGAAAGGCAGCTTCACTCCGCTGAAATGAGGATGCTGAGGTGGGCCTGCGGCTGGACGCGGCTGGACAGGGTCAGGAAACGAGGTGTCCCCCAAGAGGCCCGTCGCGCGGCGAAGAAGAGACGCAGACGCGGCAAAGGACGAGTCGCAGCGCATACTGTAGCGGTTAGGCGTCAATTTCAATAGAACGCATTACAGTACGTCCCACACCATTCACTCCACGGCGTGGGCTCAAAATTCGATATCTGCTTATACACGCCGCTTTTCTTATCGGGTTCAAGGGGGCACGCGATGGTGCGTACCTGTTTCCGTCTGCTTCACCAAGGCTAGTCACCGATTGCG